TGTGGCCAGCATGGACCCACCATGGGCCAGAAATCCCAGAGAAAATCCAAAGATGCAGTGAAGTCCTTCTTATGTTTTACCAGTAACAGCAGACCTCTAGAACCGCATTCAAGTGACTGCCAGGACGACGCTCTGAGAGCTTCCTCACCTTTCAGTCCCCCCCACCCCCACCCCAGGCACCAGCCCTGCATGGGAGATGAAAAAAGAGGCAAAGAGGGTCATGTCTGTGGGCACAAGTGCTGTAGACCACCTAAAGCAGGCTCGTTTCCGAGGCAGTATCACTACGGAAGTAGATTGCCCAACCTTCCGTCCGAGGAGTGGCTGGTGGATTTGAACCGCCAGCTTTCTGGTTAGCAGTCAAGAGCCTTAGGCACTAAGCTACCAGAGCTCCCAAGTCTTCTAATAGGGACAGAAATCTGATAGTGGGTGCAAGGGGCTGGGGGTGGGGTAAGGGGGAGGGACTGGCTGCAAGCCCAAGGAACACGGAACTTTCTGAGGTGACAGGGAAGTCCTACATCGTGACTGTGATGGAGGAATCAAGACTGTACACATGGCAAAACTCATCATCTTATGAATTTTAAAAGTGTATCTTCATAAACCACATTTAAAAATAGATGTGTAAAATTTCAATTCTCAAAGCTTTGTCTTTGTAGCAAAATGTAAAGAAAAATATTAAACTCCAAAGAGCTTCTCAATCACCCAGGAAGCCAGCTATCCTCATTAAACTACTTACAGCAAGGATACAGCACTCCTTCCGGGAGAAGCTGGGAGCCCATCATCCCAGACCTGCCACCCCCAGCAACATAAGGGGCCCAGTCAGAACACGAGAGGCTGCATATACTGTGAAAATCCTTCTTTTATTCTGGTCTCTTGTGGCAAAATAACATTTTATACAAATAAGTTGCCTAGTTTACTTTGGACACACAGACAATACAAAGTGGAATGAGGATCTGGGGTGCAGTGGGCAAGAGGAGGAAGGACAGATCTGATCACTCACGTTCCTTTATTTCTGTGAAAAACAGATTTATAAGGAAAAAAAGAGACTTTCACAATGTCAGTGACTTCATATGATCCTCTGTAAACACAGTGAGTCCACCTCACCAGATCCTGCGTGTGGCTGAGATGTTCCGTAAAATGGAATGTGAGTGACGTGACGGGGATGGGTGAGTGCAACAAGTAGGCTTGCATGCCAGGTACACAGCACCCTCCACACCAAGGAGGCCTCGCGCACCAGCAAGGAGACTGTGCTGTGGTTTTCAGAACACCCCACTGATGTCACAGTGACAGTGACCACCAGGGGTGGTGGAACATACTAAGGCAGGGGGTCCTCTGATTTGTACATCTGACACAGCCTGCTGAACCCACTCCATCAATGAGTCCCACCTCCCCTGAAAAGAGCTGACGATTCCCCATTCACAGTCATTTCAAGAATCACCAGCCTCGCCCTAGACAACCCCAAACCACGGCCCACGTCTGGGAAGCTGACGGCCCTGAAAACGGCTCTCTAGGTTGTATGGTGCTTTAAGCTGACACCTCTGGAGAGGCCATCCTATGTGAGCCCAGAA